TTTCTGATGCGCCCTCACAGAACGAATACTGGTTGCCTGCTACCCGCAGATTTCAATGTTTGTTTGTTTCTTGTTTTCGGTCTAATTCTGATCACTGTGTGCGGTGTATTATCTGTGTAGGGGATATGGCTAGACTACTTGGACCAAACCCAGCTAGACCAGGAGTCTGAAGAACTAAAAATGGCCTTTTATAGCATTCGCAGCTGCTCTGGTATACCCTTTTAAAAAGAACACTGGTTGGCTGCTGACCGCAACTTTCAATGTTTATGTGTTTTCTGTTGTCGGTCTAATTCTTATCACTGTGTGCTGTATATTATCTGTGTAGGGGATATGGCTAGACTATTTGGACCAAACCCAGCTAGACCAGGAGTCTGAGGACCTAAAACATCGCTATCACAGTCTAAAGTGTACGTACGGCGTGGTGGGCTCCACGCCACCGGTGACCCAGCGATCCACCAGGATGGCTGCCACGTCCGCCGACATCACCATCTCCGATTCCACACGTAAGTCACGCGGCGCGGCTTTGTATTGAGTTGAGCAGAGACCTGAGCTGCGTGCGATCTGGGCCAGGGATGTATTTGACCTGCACTATCCGGCTTTCGTATATTATTTGTTTTCTCCTCTATTGGAGGGCCATAGTTGGCGGACTTACTATCCTGGCGTAGGTGTACCTGCTGGTTTAACATGATGCTTGAGCCAGCGCAGCCAGCACAGCCAGCATAGCCAGCACAGGCACATCAGTACCTGAGTAATCTTGTGATGTACCAGTACACACTGTGCCAGTACAAGTGCCCTTGTGATTCTTAGAGTGTGCACGAAACGTGTAAGTGCAATAGGACCTTTTATTAATGTGTGTGTGTGTTTGTGCGTGTGTGTGGGTGGGTGCCTGCGTGTGGTTCTATCGCTTGCTTATTCACTCTTATTCTTCAGCCTGCGAGCGGATCATGACGCGATTGGGTCGTTTCAGCGAGACAATTCAAGCACCGCCAGCAATGCGTAGCTGGACGGACCCCGTGCCTCCTGTTCGTCCCTCCACTCTCCAAGACAGTACGCTACTACTGGAAGATGTGAAGGAGAATTTCAACACCATCACCGAAGCTGCAAGGTATGCAAAAGTACAGGGCTGCTCAACAAAATCCGATCGCGTGAATCAAGTTTCGGTCCTACGCTTGCTCACATCCTAGTGTTCGCAGGTTTAGGCCTGCACAGCGCAGCGCCCGGCAGGGCGTACTTGACTCACTCGACTGATGCAATCTTGTGTACTATTTGCTCGTTTACACACCGCTTTCTTTGAGTTGTCTAGATGCCTCGCATGGAAATGGTGTTGTAGCAATGCAACTGATGAACACTCTTATCTGTGTTAGGCTGAGTCCTTTTCTGTAATTCTCAAACGCAGTGCAGTGTGCTAGTTGGGACAGTGGCAACAGCAGACTCCACTATCCTGCCATCAGACACTATCCTTTATTTATCTAGTACAGAGGAGAGAAGGAATAGTCCTGGATAAGGTTTCTTAAGCTATCGATGGATTTGTCTCGTTGCACTTTGTGCCCCATTAGATATTCCACTCTTACAGTATTACAGTTCTAGCTAAACACATGCCGGTGTGCTGAATCACTGATTCGTGTCTCATGTCCTGGCATGGTATTGTTGCTGCTACTTCCGTAACGGCGTGTAGGAATTACTTGGAGCGTGTTTCTCGCCACACAGCTCTGGACATGGACTACATGGAAGCAGTACAGCAGCTCTATACGAATTCCATAAGACAGGTGCGTGTGTGTGTGTGTGTGTGTGCGTGCGCGCGTGCGCGTGTGTGTGTGTGCGTGCGTGTGTGTGTGTGTGCGCCCGCATGTGTGTGTGTGTGCGCCCGCATGTGTGTGTGTGTGTGTGTGTGTGTGTGTGTGTGTGTGTGTGTGTGTGTGTGTGTGTGTGTGTGTGTGTGTGTGTGTGTGTGTGTGTGTGTGTGTGTGTTTCTCTGGCAATGTTCTGCATGTGTGTATGTTATTAGATAAACATTGTTTTGTTGAAAACATGTTGTTGGTTGACAGCATGTAACAAGGTGGAGGACCACCGTGTTTTGGAAACAGTGACCTTTCCACAGCCATGTAGAAACCATGTATGTGTGTGTGTATGACTGCTGCAGATCGTAGCACCAACGCCGTGTACAAGTCGCATCAATCCCACGCATAGATGCGGCGGGGCAGCGGAGATCACAGTAACGGTTAGTGGCATTGGCAGGGGTTTTGCTGCCCATTCCATGCATTGTACTGTTACTGTTCATCTCACAAGTCACAACAACAGTGGCCGCCACCATGGCTTCACCCGCAATTCTAATGTCATCATATATGGACAGGTGTAAATATGAGGATGTGAAGGTTATACTTACATGTATAGGGATATTTAATGGCACCAAATGATATACAGTCAACTTCGCTTATAACGACAATCGGCGGGGCAACAGAAAAGTGTCGTTATACCCGAAGTCTCATTGTATGTATTACAGTGGGATGGGACTTTGCTCTGGGCATGAAAATTCTGTCGTTATTCGCGAATTGTCGTTATATCCGCAGTCGTTATTAGCGAAGTTGACTGTAATTCCAACATCATCACACACATGTACCACCCTGGTGCTAGTTATAGTCTGAATACATTCTCATGTAGGTGTCAGGAGAACTGACCAACCATGAGCAGCTCAACTGATGATGTAATCCCATGCGTGTATTCCATGTGTGTTGCTGTAAGCTTGAAGTGAACATGTACATCTAGGATGGGTTTATGAATTGCTAGATGTTCACACATGCAACTTTACCATACCAGGCCCATTGGGTGTCACATGTGTCCAAGTTTGGCAAAGTAATTTTGCAGCACTGTACAATTACTACGAGTATATGACCAAGGGGCACCACCAGACAAATTTTGGCATTCGAAATCTGACTAGAACCGTTTTAATACTGGACTGGATTTAGATACAAACCGCAGATAAGATGAATCCTTTTTTTGGCCATTATCCGAAAAGTGATGAAATGGAGTTACATGTAGCAGGTTTTGCATTTCAGCTCTGTACATGTACTGCTTTACCTGCTCACTGTGTGCTCACTGTGTGCTCACTGTGAGCTCACTGTGTGCTCACTGTGAGCTCACTGTGTGCTCACTGTGAGCTCACTGTGTGCTCACTGTGTGCTCACTGTGAGCTCACTGTGTGCTCACTGTGTGCGGACTGTGTGCTCACTGTGCTGTGCAGTTCCGTGAGGCGACGGTGAGCGAGGCAGTGCGCCAGCGCATCGACGAGAACCGCAACGAGGCCGATGGCCTCCTGCAGCTGGGCATCGGCATGCTGCCGGAGAAGCTGTTTGTTTCGGTGGTGCGCGTCGAGGCGGCTATCACGTACGTCCCGACGTTGTGGTGTTTGCCTGCTCTTTCTATTATACCAATACTCTGTAGTTTTGCTCTGGGTCAACTCTGGAAGATCCGCAGCACATGATTACGCCTTCTGGGACTTAGCTGGGTGTTTAATTCTTATTTGCCTGCTGCCCTTAATACACGGTGTTGACTTCTTTGCACTCTAGCTTTGCACTGGGTAATCTCTCGAAGATCCACAGCACATGATTACGGTCTTGTAGGACTTCCAGGGATGTTTTTGCTGCCATTATATTATGTATTGGACACGATCATACGTACTTGGAACAACACACGCAGCAGCATACTATATCTTGAGGAGTGCTGGGGAGTTGAAGTTTGTTTGGTCAGCTTTTTTGCATGGCTCGACTTGTGTTCAGTCCTTGGCATTGAGTGCCTGTTTGTTCTTCTGGCGACTGTGTGCGTTTATCTGCAGTGAGCTCATTCGTCTGAAGAGGCAAGGTGACGACGGTGAGTTCTCTGACTCGCTGCAATGGCCATCTCAGTACTGTAGAACTCTGATAGGGCAGGCACGTAGCTCGTGTGTAGTTAGCGTAGTCCGGCCACCACACCAGCAAATACCGTCATAGGTACTACATGTACATGGGAGCGGGACGGGTAGAAATCACATGTTCCCCCAAATGGGTGAAGTGGAGTTTTCTCCTGGAAACCCGGCCTATGATATTGAAGTGCGCAGTGAACATGAAAAAACAGGTGAAAACCCTTGAAAACCCGTTCAGAGAGGCCCTTTTAGCAAGCTCTATGCACAACCTAACAGTAAGGCGAAAGACGAACCATTTACCTCTGAAGAGATTAGGAAGGCCATCATGCACCAGAAAATCGGAGGCGCTGTTGGATGTGATGGGATCAGTGCGGCACTGCTACGTACGGCTTCGACTGTCATTACTCCATGGCTGACTACCCTATTTAACTCCATTAAGGAACTCCACTATTGCCCACCTGACCTTAGATGTGGCCTTCTGGTGCCAGTATACAAACGAGGAAAACCTATGGGTGCACCGAAAAGTTACAGACCGGTCATGCTGCTATCAGTTGTTCGCAAGGTGCTGACCCGCATCATCACCATGCGTTCAGAACAATCTACCACCTCATATGTACGTGAAAGTCGGGCAGGCTTTACACCTGGACGCTCCACGGCTGACGGAGTTTTCTATACGCGTGTCATGTGCGAACGTGCACTACTCGGTGACTGGAAATACTCTGCCGCACTATTAGACTTCAGCGGAGCATTTGATACCATTGTCCGTGAGAAGGCGTTGGCGCGATTTTCAGACTCTGGAGCTGCCACTGATGTCGTTGCCACTCTGATCTCGGACACGACGGTGAGAGTGAAACTCAGTTCTCATTTAGGCAAAGCGTTTGCTACAAATATCGGAGTAGTGCAGGGGGATCCGCTGTCTCCCATCATGTACAATGTGTATGCTGAGGGAGCCATGCGCCACCTTGATCCTATACTATCGCACTTATCTTTACCAGCACCAACCACCCAATATGCAGACGACACAACAATCCATGACACGGAGAGGCGAGAAGTCGAGGAGATTGTGGAGAAATCAAGTGAAAAATTCAAAGAAGATAACCTAATG